CTGTGTATGTCAGTATTCTACATACTTACTGACTTAATAATTACTTAGAATAAGTACAGTAAGCTCAAGATAATAAGCTCAAAATAATTATAAGCTATTAGCATTTTTAACTTCCCTCTTTTTCTCGATTATAATTTCAATTAACAGCAATCTTCTTTTTCTTAGGGAAACAAATTGTTCCTTTAATAATGAAAAGTTGAAGTACCACCTGTTGGGGACTATGCTTACTGCCTGGGTGATGAGATTGTTGAGACCCCAAGCCTCAGTGTCACATAATTTACTTATGTAAAAAATCTGCACATGTACCCTTTAATCTGTAATAAAAGTTGAAATTTAAAAAAGAGAAAAGTTAACATGGATATGTAAGACCAGAGCAGTCATAATACAAAGTATATAACTATAAAAGAGTCTCTGTTATTAAACATCAAAAGTAGTCCTTAGAATAAACATTTATAGTTGAGATGCCCAACTGCTTAAGATTTTTTATCTGGGAATCCAGACACCTGTAGCTCTGTCCTGTGACCTTACTCCAGTCTCACTTACCTATTAGGGAGCACAGTTCCCACCAGATGGATTTGCTACTTTCAGTCCCATGACTTTCTGGAAAAGCAGGCAAATGTTAATGTTTAAAATTGATGTTGAATTATCTTCCATCTGTCACAGAATTTAGATTTAGATTTGTGAGTTTACAGTGAAATCACTTTTCTGGCACCTGTGGTCATGAATGTCAAGACAAGTCTGGAGGTATAAATAGCTGTGGATGAAAAGCTGTTATTCTATCTCCCAGTCCAGGCGAAGTGAGCAACCATGAAGACCTTCATCTTCCTTGCTCTCCTGGGAGCTGCTGGTGAGTCTCTTTCAATGAATGAATCAATAAGTGTCTACCATAAACTTAAGTTTGCACTTTGTTCTCTGGAAGATGCCAATGAATGTTGAATCTGGTCTCTTCGAAAAGCTTAAAATACTGAAATGACAGTGTAAAATACTTATGTTTTTGGATAATTAAATATCACTTGTTGGAAGAAGATCACAGTGAGCAAAAGTGATCAGGGCAGAAGACATAAAGATGCAGGACTTGAGGCTGGGAGCAGTGGCTAACACCTGTAATCCCAGCACTTTGGGAGGCTGAGGTGGGTGGATCACAAGGTCAGGAGTTTGAAACCAGCCTGACCAACATGGTTGTAGGGAGCCAGCCCCACATCACCCATGAGTACCCTGAGTTTGGTGGTGACAAAGGAATGAGAAAAAGATTAAGAGAGACAGTGGGACCAGGGGGCCATCACTTTATTACTTTGGTGGAGGCAGTGAAGGCCCTGAGCACTGATCATCCACACTATTTATTGATTACAATCATTTTGATCATTAGGGTGGGGTGGAGTGATGGTGGAGTGAATCAGTGAGCCAGAAGTGAATTGGTGAGCCAGAACTGGTGTGTCATTTTAAGGATTGATAACAGTGGCAGTTTGGGAGTTTCGCAAAACAAGAACATGTGGTTATCTTTAGCTTATTATCTATATATGGCTGGTGGAATGCGGGCCTTACAAGGAGCCTACAAGTCTGGCTACATCATAGTGCTATGAAGGGGTCTTATGTCCTTAAGCACAATGTTTATGGTTACTTGGTAACAGAGCCGAGGTCACCCTGCATTGGAACATGAGGCATGGAGAGGCCTTCCTCCTCAGAGGCCTCCTGTGGCCTTCCACAGTTTGTTGTTCCTTGTTTATATTTTACTCATAACCAATTTATGTAGGCACTCTGTAAGTCCTTTCTCCTTTGCTGCTTTTCCCAACACATGGTGAAGCCTTGTCTCTACTAAAAATACAAAAATCAGTTGGGCGTGGTGGCAGATGCCTATAATCCCAGCGACTCAGGAAGCTGAGGCAGGATTGCTTGAACCTAGGAGGCGGAGGCTGTAGTGAGCCGAGATCACACCACTGCACTCCAGCCTGGGTGACAGAGCAAGAATCCATCTCAAAAAAAAAAAAAAAAAAAAAAAAAAAAAGCATGACTTGCTCTCAACTTCTGGATAAAATTAATGAAGAAGGAGAGAAAAGGGAAAGATAGCCCAGATTAAGGAGGCACCTATCCTGACCTTTCCAGGAATTTGTAATTAATGATTGAAACCAATTGTGTGCTTTTAAAATGGGTGCAGGTGTCAGAGCCTGCATCTTCTCCACACTAAAGGACCAGAGATATAGAACCACGGAGTCTAATGGGAAAAGCTATTTTCTTTCTCATGAATAAAAGCTATGGGCTGTATTTTACAATAGTTTTGCCACAGAAATCTCTCTGGTGTAAAGTAACATGTCATACCATATATAATAGAGAAGTTATGAATTCTCCTTTAATACTAGTAAATTTTATATGACTAATAATACTAAATTTTCTCGAGTTGGGCAGGTATACATTCAATTTATCTATCTACACACCTGGAAACTTCTTTCCTAAAACTATTTAAAATATCTGAACAATGGGGCTCATAAAATACAATCACAAACTTTTGGAGTTATATCTTAATAAATCAGTGGGCTAGACTTTAAAAGCTGAATAAATTCATAAGTTGGACAGATAATTGGGATAAGAGGAAAGGCTGAAGAAGGTCACCCTATAATGTTCTTTAAAATGATTTTAATAGAAATTATAGGCTGGAACCAAAAAGAGAAATTTGGAGAGCAAAAGTACAAATCTCTCATTTCCTTCTAGACCAGAACATTCTCAGGTGTCTTTGAAAAGCCTTCTTTTTTTTCCCTTTTATTTTATTGCATTTTAGGTTTTGGGGTACATGTGAAGAACATGCAAGATTGTTGCATAGGTAGACATGTGGCAGTGTGATTTGCTGCCTTCCTCCCCATCACCTACATCTGGCATCTCTCCCCTTGCTATCTCTCCCCAGCTCCCCACCCCCCACCGTCCCTACCCTATTTCCCCCCAACTGACCTCAGTGTGTAGTGCTCCCCTCCCTGTGTCCATGTGTTCTCATTGTTCAACACCCGCCTATGAGTGAGAACATGCGGTGTTTGATATTCTGCTCTTCTGTCAGTTTGCTGAGAATGATGGTTTCCAGGTTCATCCATGTCCCTACAAAGGACACAAACTCATCGTTTTTGATGGCTGCATAATATTTCATGGTGTATATGTGCCACATTTTCCCTGTCCAGTCTATCATCGATGGGCATTTGGGTTGGTTAAAGGTCTTTGCTATTGTAAACAGTGCTGCAATGAACATTTGTGTGCACGTGTCCTTATAGTAGAATGATTTATAATCCTTTGGATATATACCTAGTAATGGGATTGCTGGGTCAAATGGAAGTTCTATTTCTAGGTCCTTGAGGAATCGCCACACTGTCTTCCACAATGGTTGAACTAATTTACACTCCCACCAACAGTGTGAAAGTGTTCCTATTTCTCCACATCCTCTCCAGCATCTGTTGTCTCCAGATTTTTTAATGATCGCCATTCTAACTGGCGTGAGATGGTAACTCAATGTTGTTTTGATTTGCATTTCTCTGATGACCAGTGATGATGAGCATTTTTTCATATGTTTGTTGGCCTCATGAGTGTCTTCTTTTGTAAAGTATCTGTTCATATCCTTTGCCCACTTTTGAATGGGCTTGTTAGTTTTTTTCTTGTAAATCTGTTTTAGTTCTTTGTAAACTCTGGATATCAGCCCTTTGTCAGATGGGTAAACAGCAAAAAGTTTTTCCCATTCTGTTGGTTGCCGATTCACTCTCATGACTGTTTCTTTTGCTGTGCAGAAGCTGTGGAGTTTGATTAGGTCCCATTTGTCTATTTTGGCTTTTGCTGTCAATGCTTTTGGTGTTTTGGTCATGAAGTCCTTGCCTACGCCTATGTCCTGAATGGTTTTGCCTAGATTTTCTTCTAGAGTTTTTATGGTGTTAGGTCTTATGTTTAAGTCTTTAATCCATCTGGAGTTAATTTTAGTGTAAGGTGTCAGGAAGGGGTCCAGTTTCTGCTTTCTGCACATGGCTAGCCAGTTTTCCCAACGCCATTTATTAAACAGGGAATCCTTTCCCCATTGCTTATTTTTGTCTGGTTTGTCAAAGATCAGATGGTTGTAGATATGTTGTGTTGCCTCCGAAGCCTCTGTTCTGTTCCATTGGTCTATATCTCTGTTTTGGTACCAGCACCATGCTGTTTTGATTACTGTAGCTTTGCAGTATAGTTTGAAGTCCGGTAGTGTGATGCCTCCCACTTTGTTCTTTTGCTTAGAATTGACTTGGCTATGTGGGCTCTCTTTTGGTTGAAAAGCCTTCTTTCTGCTACGGTAGGGGGCTCTCTTTCCCATAACATCTCACCAACCACCACAAACCAACATCAGCATGATTACTGAAAAGCCTTATACCTAACTGTGTGACTGGTGAGCAGAGTTCTATATAAAATGTTTTCCTAGAGCCTCAGGAAGTGTTATTGAGGACATTTACTGTGTCGAGAGTTTCTGATCTTTGAGTGTGTTTGTGTGTGTTTCTGAATAGTACATATATTAAAGAATGTGTTTGTCAAAGTTAAACCATAAATTTAAAATTAAATACTTATAATGTTACAAGTGGATATAATTTAAAGGTATGGAATAATAAATTTTCCCTTCAGATAACCTTAAAACCACCATTTTCTGATTATGTGAGACAAGAGAACACTCTGCTCTCTTTTGGCAAATCTGAAAAAACTTCATGGTAGTGTGGAAACTCCAGGGTGAATCTGTTTAATTGATAGTTCCCAACTTTTCTCTGTTAGTCGCTTTCCCCACTAGTGATGATGATGATGACAAGATCGTCGGGGGCTACACCTGTCAGAGGAATTCTGTCCCCTATCAGGTGTCCCTGAATGCTGGCTATCACTTCTGTGGCGGCTCCCTCATCAGTAACCAGTGGGTGGTGTCTGCAGCTCACTGCTACAAGTCGTAAGTCATTGACACTCATTTTCCTATATGCTAAGATCAATTTATCCTCTATCCCTGACTAAACACAATCCAGAGTAAACTGCAGAGTTGTGCTTGAGGGTGAGGCATTCAGACCTCCAGAGATTTTTTATTCTCTCAGGCATTGTCTGATGTATCAAGGGGCTTTTGCATGGAGAGGTAGCCTTTAGGCATCTCTGATGTCTTCCCAAATGATGGTACTAAAGATACAGAAGGGAAATAGTGAGTAGTGAAGTTTCCCTAGAAATACCTTATGACATGAATCACTACATAGTGCTAATCACTATAACTCAACAGGTATAAATTGTATATGGATGCAATAACATACGGAGAATTTATAGCACAACATTAAAAATATGCATGATTCATTCCGCTCCCTTGAAATTCTGCCATTCCTCACTCCTGTTTCATTTCCTACAATAATTGGTGATCCCAACCAGAGAGAAATGGCAAGTGCTGATCAATCTCCACCAACTTCCTTTTTTTCTCCAACTGTTTTATTTAAGTCTATGGGCTCTCATTCCCATTCCTTACTATTCTAACAAGATGGTGGGCTGTGAGTCTGCACTTGCAGTGACACCTCCCTAAGGAAAACTCTAACCTGTATGTACCATGTGGCAGTGTACAATGCTACCTTAAGTGCACAATTACTGTGTGACTGAATGCTTCAAAACGATGGTGTCTGTGTTTATGCTTGTAAACGGGTGGGGGTCAGGAGAAGTGCAAATAGGTCAAGTTAGATACTTAGGAACTTCTTATATCTTTTAATCCAGCCGAATCCAAGTACGTCTGGGAGAACACAACATTGAGGTTACTGAAGGCAATGAGCAATTTATAAACGCGGCCAAGATTATTCGCCACCCCAATTACAATTCAGCCACCATGGATAATGACATCATGCTGATTAAGCTCAACTCAGCTGCCACCATCAACTCTCGAGTGTCCACCATCTCTCTGCCAAGATCCTGTGCAGCGACTGGTACTCAGTGCCTCATCTCTGGCTGGGGCAACACCCTGAGCAGTGGCAGTAAGTGTCACCTGACACAGAACTACCAAGTATCACAATTTTAGAGCTGAAAGACATGTGAAAGTTCAGCCAGTCCAAATTCTCACTTAAGGTTAAGTTCTCAGAGCACAGTTTTTGGATATATGGAATCTCAGAAATATATCATTAATAACTGAAATAAAGAGGATTCCCTTGCTGGAACTATGTAGAAGATACAATAATGAAGTATTATGAAGATATCAGGGTATTTAACTGAAGTGTGATTAGTGATGTGCAGAGATCTATAAACTGAGGAGGTAAACAAAACAGACTCAGTGATATGGTCTTGCCTGGAGCACGTACCTGCTTGAGAAATAAAGTTGCTAGATGTGAGATGTGTGGTCACTGATGTTAGTGTCAGAGAAAGAACAATTCCTTGATTAGAAGTACTTGGAAAAGCTTTTAGAAAACATATTGTTCTCTCAAATGAGAAGTCATCAACTAATTGAAAGAGTGAGAGTATTGGTGAAGAGGGGAGATGTATTGAGAAAGAAATTTTTGGAAACCTCATGAGTAACCTTGCATTTTTTATGCTTCCACTACACAGCCAACTACCCTGATCTCCTGCAGTGTCTGAAGGCTCCCATTCTCTCTGACACTGCTTGCCGCACAGCCTACCCAGGCGAGATTACTACAAATATGATATGTCTGGGATTCCTGGAGGGTGGAAAGGACTCTTGCCAGGTTAGTTTCTTTGTACTGCTTCTCAATTTCAGCTCATTCTTTTTTTTTTTTTTTAGATTTTTTTTTTATTGCATTTTAGGTTTGGGGGTACATGTGAAGAACATGCAAGATTGTTGCATAGGTACACACATGGCAGTGTGATTTGCTGCCTTCCTCCCCATCACCTATATCTGCCATTTCTCCCCATGCTCTCTCTCCCCAACTCCCTACCCTTCACTGTCCCTCCCCTTTCCCCCAGACAGACCCCAGTGTGTGGTGCTCCCCTCCCTGTGTCCATGTGTTCTCATTGTTCAACACCCACCTATGAGTGAGATCATGCAGTGTTAGATTTTCTGTTCTTGTGTCAGTTGGCTGAGAATGATGGTTTCCAGGTTCATCCATGTCCCTACAAAAGACACAAACTCATCGTTTTTGATGGCTGCATAGTATTCCATGGTGTATATGTGCCACATTTTCCCTGTCCAGTCTATCATCGATGGGCATTTGGGTTGGTTCCAGGTCTTTGCTATTGTAAACAGTGCTGCAATGAACATTCATGTGCATGTGTCCTTATAATAGAACGATTTATAATCCTTTGGATGTATACCCAGTAATGGGATTGCTGGGTCAAATGGAATTTCTATTTCTAGGTCCTTGAGGAATCACCACGCTGCCTTCCACAATTGATGAACTAATTTATACTCCCACCAACAGTGTAAAAGTGTTCCTATTTCTCCACATCCTCTCCAGCATCTGTTGTCTCCAGATTTTTTAATGATTGACATTTTAACTGGTGTGAGATGGTATCTCAACGTAGTTTTGATTTGCATTTCTCTAATGACCAGTGATGATGAGCATTTCTGTGGCTCATGCCTATAGTCCCAGCTATTAGGGAGGCAGAGGTGGTAGGATAGCTTGAGCCCAGGAGTTCCAGACCTGCCTGGGCAATATAATGAGACCCTGTTTTCCACAAAAAGGAAAAAAAACAAAAAGTCACACACAAAAAAATAAGTGTAACTTCCAGCTCATTCTCAATCTTCTCTACCATATTCCCCTTTTCTGAAACACAGAGGATTGTAAAACTGCCCCTACAACTGATTGTGAGAGGTGAGGGATAGCCTTAGGACAAATTAAATATTTCATTTTTATTGTATTAAGAGCTAGGTTTAAGAGTTCAAAGACGCACAGAAGATGGTGTGCAAATAGTACTTCCAAGTGCCCTTCTGAGGAGGTAAACTGTTGAAAGGAACTCTAGTGGAAGGAGCAGAGCTAGTTGAGTACCATGAAACCTCCATAGTACTCACCTCCTGTTATCCCAATTGGGCTACTAAGGAAAGAGAAGGGGCTCAAAGAAGAGATGTAGAAGACCAGCTAGTGATATTGTAAGTAGATTGAGGGTTTGGAGGTTTCAAGAGGAAGAGAAAGTGCTTCATGGGGGATCAGCAGTGTGAGACAATGGCCCCAGCACAATGGAAGAATATTTTGCAGCCTATTCTCTCTTCTGGGCATAAATAAGAGCTCTGAATGTTGCTTCCTTTTTGCTCAGGGTGACTCTGGTGGCCCTGTGGTCTGCAACGGAGAACTGCAGGGTGTTGTCTCCTGGGGCTATGGTTGTGCTCAGAAGAACAGACCTGGAGTCTACACCAAGGTTTGCAACTACGTGAAATGGATTCAGCAGACCATTGCTGCCAACTAAACACCTTTATCTCTTCATATTCCATTTCCTATTCATCAACTTCCCCTTTTTTCTCTGCCTAAAAACAGTATCTAAATAAAAACATACTGTCTTGTACCACATATTTCCAAGAATGGTCCTTGTTGGTATTGATGAACTTTCTCTTGAAACTAGCTGCTAAGAAGGTGGACATAGGGTCAAACTACTATATTGAGAAAATGTGAAAAGCTATTGATATGGTTTTGCTCTGTGTCCCCACCCAAATCTCACATCAAATTGTAATTCCCAGTGTTGGAGATGGGGCCTGGTGGGAGGCGATTGAACTGTGGGGGCAGGCTTTCCCCTTGCTGTTCTTGTATAGAATTCTCCAGAAACCTGCTTGTTTAAAGTGGATAGCACCCCCTCTCATGCTATCCATGTGAAGATGTGCTTGCTTTGCCTTCTACCATGATTGTAAGTTTCCCGAGGCCTCCCAAGAAGCAGAAGCCTGTACAGCCTGCAGAACCATTAGCTGCTTAAACTTCTTTTCTTTATAAATTACCCAGTCACAGATATGTCTTTTTAGCAGTGTGAGAATGGACTAATACAGTTATTTAGTCATTAATTCAACCTAGTCAATATAAGTTTACTGATCACCACTATATGCCAAACTCTGTGTGATACACTGCACATAAAAAGGTGAACAAGTTTGGAGGTCACTGTTACCACTTGTTTTAAGATTTGGCTACAGTATATATTTTAACATGCATTTTTGGGCCAGGTGTGGTGGCTCATGCCTGTAATCCAAACACTTTGAGAAGCCAAGTTGGGAGGATCACTTGAGGCCAGGAGTTTGAGACCAGCCTGGACAATATCGCCTCTACAAAAAATTAACAAATTATCTGGACATAGTGGTGCATGCCTATAGTTCCAGCTGTTTGAAAGGATAAGGTGAGAAGCTTGCTTGGGCCCAGGAGTTTGAGGCTGTAGTGAGCTTTGATTGTGCCTCTATGCTTCAATCTGGGAGACAGAGCAAGACCCTGTCCCTAAAAAGAAATATAAGCTAATTGAAAACATGCACTTTTGTGGTAGATCATGCATTCATACCTTACAACACATAATGACACTAAAATACAGAAAGTTAAAATTAATTGCCCCAAATCTTTAAATAATTCACAGTAAAGCTAAGATAAAGCCCAAGTGGGCATTCCCAGTACATTGCTGCTAATATAACAGAATGATCTGTCTTTCCTTTTTCTTCAATCTATCTGAAACTCTCTGAGGCTAGGTAAGAGAAACTTCTAGATGCAGAAATATTTAAAATTCACAGATTTCCTGTGTTTTCCAAGATTTCACCTACCTGTATATTCTTTTCCTCCAAGATCTTTCTCCTTTTCCAAGTAGAAATTTGCTGTAGCAGGCCTGGTCTCTGGAGACAATCTGTGCCCCTTTTCACCACAAGTTCCTCCAAATCCCAGCTCAGATGATATACTACTTTAAACTACAAACAAAAACAAAAAAAGCACAAATACAGATAAGTTTGCAGAAAATAGATATTGCGCCTTGAGGTCATAAATAGCTATGGATGTATTACCTGTTCTCGCCAGTCCTGTCTGGAGAGTGCATCACAGACTCTGGCTTCAGTTCTCCTACAGATTGTCCCCCAGATCTTCATTGCTCTGTGCATCATTGAAAGGAGGGCTTGGAGCAGAAGACCCTTTACATGATTCTCATGTTTATCTGGAATGAGACAAGGGAAAAGACACACTGGGATCAGAGAACAGAACGGTGCAGGTGTAGGCAATCCTTGGAAAAGAGAGAGTACTTGCAGTTCAGTGATTAGGGGAAGGAAGGGTACTGTCTTATGCAGTTCAGTCTGCTTTCAAAAAAAATATCATAGACTGGTGGCTTGCACAACAAACATTTATTTCTCACAGTGGAGGCTGTGAAGTCCAAGATCAAGACATCAGGTAGTCTGGTGTCTGCTGAGGACAGCTTCCAGGCTTCCTAATGGTCATCTTCTAGTTGCACCCACACGTGGCCAAGAGAGCCAGTTCTAGTTCTATTCTCTTCTTACAAATAAGTACATTAATCCCATCATGGGGGCACCACCCTCTAGACCTTATCTAAACCTAATAACTCCCAAAGACTCCACCTCTTAACACCATCCCGTGGGAGGTTAAATTCATATATGAATTTGGGAGGGGGCGACACAAACATGCAGACCATGAATATTTCAGAGGAAGAGAGTATTGAAAGAAATATGTGCCTCTCAGCAATTTCCCATCCTTTTGTAACTATGGATGGCGCATTTGTAGGGAAAAGCTGAGCTCTTAATACTGCCTTATCACTGCCCCTAAAATGCAGCCAAAATTCCTTAGACTTGCATTCAACATTCTCCAAATATTTGATCACAACTAACCATTCCTGTCTTATTTCCTTTGTTCTCATTGAATTGCTTCTATGTTTGTGTATAGTCTAACTTAATTTCATATATAAATCTCTTTGTATATATAAGTAGCCTTAGATCTACATCAACTAAACATCTTGGCCTTCTCCTTTGAACAAAATGAGATTAAGTTTTCCCTGTTCCCTCTGAAATACTTTTCGCTCCACTTAATTACCACCATCGATACCTACCTACTCACCCCAGATAGTGGGAAGGTTCCGAGACTTGACAGGAAATGTGAGATACACAAAAGATAAGAGATCAGGGCAGGTCCAGAAAAAAGAAATCACTAATATCGTTAGTCCTTTATGTTAGCCAACAGTGTTTGTTTAGTACTTATTCTTGCCATTTTCAGTCTTTTCTTTTGTTTAATGCTTCCCAATTAGTGAATTTTTATTAAATTGTACATTCCATATGCCATTTTAACCAACAACTCAGCTTTTATAAATTCGCCCTAATAAAATAAGCATTTAAGCAAAAAGAGAAAGTTATAAATGTGAACATATCTCTTAGGAAGTTGCAAGGAACAGAATATCTGACAAAGTCTCTCAAAAATGCACAAATGGAAGCTTAAGAGTAGGGAGGGCTTCAAGAATATTTATGCAGGAACATTTGTTTTAGTAAGATAAATTACTAAATTTATCCTTACAAATAAATTATCTCTTTTTCTCTATAAATCTTATTAATTCATTATTTTATTGCAACACCACTATTTATCATTTATACAAAGTGAAAACTTTATTCAGTTTTGAAATCCAATTTTAAAAGGTCTTTAAAAATTAAATATTTGCTATCCATATATTATCTAGTCTTACTTTTCAAAGTCAATTTAAAAGGTCAATTTGTTGAAGTGGCACAAACACAAATGCCTTAGTCTCAGAGATACTCATTCATTCTGAATAGCTCAGTCTAATCACTTTATTTCTATTCCACCTAAACAGTAGGATTTCTAGACCTCTTGAAGAAATAATAGTTTTCAATAATTTCTTTGTTTCTCCATTTGTTTTACAAGTTCCCAAATTCTCCTGAATAAATCAATTCACCCTCTCCTCCACGAACTGATCTCATCTTCTCACTGTGAGGCACAAATTCCTTCACCAAAACCTACCTGAGAGTTATATAAGCCCTCTAACACGACCTCAATAGTCTACTGTGATTGTGTGTACACAATCCCCATCCAAAGCTTTCATTACTTAACAGAGAATATTATTGAGGACACATCCATGTGCATAACCCAAGTTCATTTTTTAAATGACTTTCCTATTTCTGTGGTCCGTTTCTATTTGCAGTGTTCTTAGATCTTGCCAGCTCTGCCTCTGAGGCTCTTACTAGACTTGGAGGGATCCATGGTAGAGACCAGCGAGAGACCACAGCTTTCCTCCAAGGCCAGCTTCGGCCTCAAAGATCTGATAGCAGTAGAATACAGTTTTCCAAATAGAAGATAAGGCCATAGGACCTGAAGAATTGATGGAAGGTTTGTTTTGTCTTCATTTGCAAGGGGAACTTTCACAGTTCACACAATTTTGCATTGTGGTAATTTCTCATGCAACTCATGTACTATATCACAGGTTAAAAAAAATAAAAACATTGTAAGAGAAAAGATTACGCTTCCCTGGGAGTCACTGGATTGTCGTCCTGGCATGGTAGAAGCGTCCCTCATCACCCCACCGCATTTCCTCTCTATTACACGTAGAATGGAAAGGCTGGGCAGGTTTCTGAGAAATGCCTCTCCAAGCCCCTAAACTTCCTTTACATGTAACTGCCTCCTCAACAGGACCTCTTCCTCCATTTTCCTTTCCGAGAAGTGCTCACACAGAATTATAGGCACTGTTCCAACGAGACTCTCACCACTGAATTATCATAGACCTTTCTTTTGGGGTTTCCTCACTTCAGAATCACATTTTCCATTTTTGATAATCAACACTTTGAACTCAGAAATTGCAGTTTTAAAATCAGTAACTCCCTCCTTCAACCCCTGAAGTCCTTTTATTTTCTTCTTCCTGTTTAACTACCAGGATTATTTTTCCCTCAAAAAAGAAGTTTTCATTTACTGCCATGTCTAGGAAAAATAAATTTTCTTCACTGTAGGTTAGTATGGTCTCCGCATTATTCCATTGTTTTACATGTGTTTAGCACAAAAAAAAGACAATCCCTCATTTCATTTGAGAAAAAGGCATAACAAAATATTTTAACTTTTTTCCCCTATGTAATTTAACTCCCTTCCTTCAACCCAAATCAGCTACATTTTTGTTCAATCAATACCTTCATAAGCCACATGGGATGAGAGAGTTACACTCTCCCACAGGACAGCTGCCTGCCATGTTTTACTGAGTGAGATGTACAAACTGAAGGCTGGATCTAATGGTGAAGACAATAATCTTATAAAGAGAGAGAAACATTAGAGAAGTATAAGAATAAAAGAGGTAAGATAGGATAAGACTAGGGAAGAAATTTTATAAAAATAACTAAAATAGATCTTTAGAAAATTCTGCTGTGTGGTATACAATACAAATTCTCTTCTTTAGTTTTCTGTATAGTATTCAGACAATTTTTATTTTTACTACTGTATTTTAGTATTAAATCTGATTTGGAGAATAGGATAAAATAAGAGCTAAATGAGCTTTAGCACTGGCATGGGGAGAAAGATGACCCACACCTGGGTAACAAGAATGAGGCAGGATGGAGAAGTCATTT